CGGGGCCCAGAGGAAGGCGGGCGGAGGTGAGGGACCCTTCGGGTCCTGAGTTCTAAGCCAGGTCGGCGGCGACCAGGAGGAATGTGAACACACTTCTGCCCCGCCTCCGAGGACAGATGTTCTCCCCGATAGCCACCCTCTCAATCCTGGTCACCCAGTCCCCTTTGACATCACGTGTCTCTAAAGTTAAAGCCCCAGAAAGTTGGGAAACAAACCCTCGAAGGTTTTTAATCTGATTAGTAACTCCCAATAGATCTTCCCACCAGCCTGGCACAGGAGGAAGTGCTGTCGTCGCTGTCACAGCCACAGGAAAACAGACCCTGGACACGTTCGCTCTTGGAAGGCAAGTCGTCGCTCGAGCGAGACCCATGCCATGCGTAGGGCGGACTTTGGACTTTTCTCCTGGTCGGAGTAGATATCCCCTCCCTCTTTACTTGAAGTGGGAGAGTCAGCTGCTTAGATCCATTCCCTACCGAACTGCGAAGGGTGGACGTGGGACCACTGCAACTTTTCTACACTCTCAAGGTCTAGACACCCATAAATGCCTGTGGAATTCCAAAATTGATGAAAGCTCCCAGCCCACCAGTTTCACAGATATCTCGGTTGGCAAGACAGTTAAGGTGCAAAGTGTGTTTAAGTGTGTCTTTAGAATTTTTTTAAAAAATTGCCTAAAAATGGTCCTTTGGAGGCCTGTTGTGTATATTGGGTTATAATTGGGTTGGGCTTGGACTTATTTATTGAGCACCTTAACTCCTTTGGGATGGTGTTATTCACACTGATGAGTTAATGGGAGACTTGAGAGTAGACCTCAAACTCCTGGCCCCAGAGCTAGGCAGGTAAGTTGGTGAAGCTGGCCAGGGTAGACCATGGGGACACAGAGAGCTCTATTGCAAAGCAGGGTTTTCTAAGCTCCAGCCTGAAGTTGCCGAATCTCCTGTGTTTAAAGAACCCAGATATCCTGACTTTTACATGAAATATCCTGATTTTAAAATAGTGGCACTTAATGGTTTAAAGAGAAACCTCTTTAAGCTTATGTGGCTCATGTCTCTGGGTTAGAGACCTACCTCTCACTGTAGAGGGCTAAGTAGGGGATTTTTTGCCTCTGCTGTGCGAGTCGCTTGCTGGTTCCAAACTGCCGCTCTGTGGCTTGGCTGCCGCCACCTTCCTCCTCTCTTGGGGGTGAGAACTGGCCCCCACTTCTCTGCCCTTATGCTCTGCCTCTGTCTCTTGCTGAGAAGTTTCATAGAGTTTCATACCCCTGGTAAGGTGCAGAAACTTTAGAATCAGAACCAAAAGTGTGCGTAGTTATTTGGCAAGTTTTCTCATTGGGGGTGGCTCTCATATTCTGAGCACTGGGGGAAATGGACCCTGCTGGGAAGGAGTGCTCTTCATTCAGGAAAACTTTTTGTGGCACAAGTGCCTCCTCTGTCTGTGGTCAGTGAGACTAGAGCAGAAAGGAATCGAAAACCTAGGTTAGGTTTGTGATTTTTCACATAGAAACACTCAAAAGTTTCTTAGGAACAGCTTAGCCAGGGAGACACAGGTAGTGTCTAGGGCTGAGTTCCCTGATCTTTGGTGGGATCCTCCCCTACCTTTTCTTGGCTTCCTTAGCAAAAGTAGGCAGAGAGACGTTATTTATAATGACAGCGAACTTTTTTTTTTTTTTTAAGAATTATTTAATTTTGTTTATTCATTCATTTAAGTTTGACCAGACACACACATACACACACACACACAGAGAGAGAGAGAGAGAGAGAGAGAGAAAGTGAGAAAGCAAGCCACCAGATCCAGGACTCAAACTGTGGTTAGCCATGTGGAAATGTCCAGCGCCTTAACCACCACGCCACCTGCTGGTCCCCAGCAGCAAACTTTTTTTTTTGGACAGATTTTTGCCATAGGGCGCATGTACTCACCAGGCAGACAGAGAGAGACAGAGAGACAGAAAGTGAGAAATCACCCCCCAGGGGGGATGGCCATGCTGCAATTCATTCTCCTCTTGGGATCTTGGGCACGCACGCACGCACATTCGCCCGGTGTGAGTTTTAAGCCACAGGGTCTGGGACTTGAACTGCGGTTGACTACGTGGGAGTTCAGCGACATAGACATTACGCTAACTGCTGGTCCCATCAGCAAACTTTTTAAAAAATAAATTTTCCTTGGGGGCAGCAACTGTTGTGGTTAAAGGTGCTGGACTCCCACATGCCAACCATGATTCAGGTTCTGGACTTGGTGGCTCCCTTACTCACTTAGCTTCTCCCTCTGTTCAAATCGAAAATAACAATAATAATAATAAATAAGTTAAAATAAAAAAATAATTCTAAAATAAATAAATATTCCAGTCGTTGGACCAACAGATGGTGTAGTAGTTATGTAGCTAGATTCTCATCTAGCTGACTGCAGTTTGAGATCCGGCAGCTTAAAGCTCAAGTGGGACGCATCTGCGTGCATGTACAAAATCCTGAAAGAATGGAGAAGGGATTGTGGCATGGCCATCCCCCTGGGGGGTGATTTCTCACTTTCTGTCTCTCTGGTGAGTATATACACCCTATAGCAAAAAATCTCAAATAAATAAATTAAAAAATCTAACTATACTTATATTCCAGTTGTTTATTTAGCAGCTTAGGTTTTATTTTGTCCCTGTTTTTGTTGCTTTTGAGTCCATTTCACTTTAACTCATAAGATGGTAGACATGAAGAGGGTGAGTATAACTCACAGATACGAACTTTCATTTTTTTGTTTATTAAAAAATGTATTTCTTTCATGAGAGAGTGAGGGGCCTTCAAAATGGTCTTGCTGCATTGTGGTTCTTCTCCCAGCATCAAGGATGTAACTGTGTCCCGGTTGACTTGGAATCAGAACCTGTGCCTCCGTGTGATTCTGGTACTGCACAGTGATGCTCCACTGCCTGTGCCACAGTGGCTGAGCCTCAGATTGGAATTTTGAAACATGTCTGAAGTTTTGGGCTTTCTAGCCTTTTCCCATCTCTCTGAATCAATAGTTTATGGATAGTACGGCTTTTTCTCTATGTTCTGTGATATTTTCTATGGGCTAGAGAAACTACTGCATGTTTTGCATAAACATCATATAGTTTGCAGTATGATGTATGCATGTCAATTTCTCCATGATTATACGTGTATATATTATATATAAATTCATATATACACATACATATATATAGCTTATATATGTATATACACGCACACACAGCCTAATAGCTGAGTTCTAATAGTTTTTTATTTAATAGCTGAAATTTAAGTAAATGAACGTAGGTGCGCCATGCCTGTGAACCCACCTGGTAGAGACTGGGATAGATCACATTGTGAAGACTCTGTAGAGGGTGCCCATCTTTTTCTCTCTCTGTCTCTCTCTCATGGAAGAAGGAGATATATAAGCTTTAATAATAGTGCAATGCCTTTGTAAAATTTCTGCTTTTTTTTTTTTTTTTTCCCTTTGGCGTTGTATCCAAATCCAGATAGTTGGGTTTGCTGTGCACAGGAGTTGAGTATTTGTTTAGTTGTAGAAATAATGAAGCACTGTAAGACCGCAAGTGTTTTGAGGTATCCCATGGAGTCATTTTTAATACATTCAGCAGACAGTTACGAACATCAGTCACAGTTCAACTTCTGTAGCTGAGTTATACATTTGGGATGTGTCTGAGGCTGCAGTGGTGGTTGGAGGAAGGATGGCTTGTTTCCTAGGCAGCACAGTGAGTTACTCTGATTCTTGTCCATTCAGTTCCCCACATTTCACACGGGAGTGATGTGGGGAAGAGAGACCGGTGAACCACATGGATAAGTCACTTTCTCAGTCTCATTGCAAGTTTTTTCTTTTATTCTATTCATTTATAAAGCTGAAGTGAGCAGGCTAAGACTGGCTCACAAAGTATTTAGAGTCCCATTTGTAGAAATTTGATGTTAGACTAGATCACTTGACCTCGAAGCTACTTGGTGTTCCTTTCGGCCCATCTCCTGTGCTCTATCCCCTGCTCACTCCACTCCCAATGTTTGGCTCTTGCTGGTCAGCTTTGTTCTTGCATTTAGTTAGTTGTGTGAGGACCAAGATGGTTCTGGGTCATGGTTGGTGAGAAGAGAAGCTATTCAATGGCTCTTCTCTACCTGAGGGTGGGACAGGGTTTCAGTCTGGGGTCCATGGTGGTTGGGTGTATGGGCATACTGTCTGTGAACCCCTCTGGAGTTGAAATTCTGATGAAGGCTGTGGATTCTTTTTTTTTTTATTTATTTTTTTTTTTTGGAGAGGTTTTCGCTATAGGGCGCATGCACTCGCCAGACAGACAGAGAGAGACATAGAGACAGAAAGTGAGAAATAACCCTCCAGGGGGGATGGTCACGCTGTAATCCCTTCTCCTCCATTCTCCTCTCGGGATCTTGGGCACGCACACGCACGCGCCCAGCGTGAGTTTTAAGCCACCGGGTCCGGGACGTGAACCGCAGTTGACTACATGGGAGTCCAGCGACATAGCCATTACGCTAACTGCTGGCTCCCTTTTTTTTTTTTTTTTAAGAGATTTTTGCTATAGGGTACGTGAGTCCACCAGACAGACAGCTAGAAATCATGCCCTCCTAGTGGGGGAGGCCACACTGAAATCCCTTCTCCTCCACTCTCCTCTTAGGATTTTGGGCATGCACGCACATGCACCTGGCATGAGTTTTAAGCCTCTGGTCCAGAACTGAATTGTGGTCCACTACATGGGAATCCAGTGACGTAACTATCACACCCTCTGCTGGTCTTGAAAGCTGTGAATTCTTAAAGGGGTTTTGAAAAATACAACAGAAGTGTTAAACTGGTTTTTTTTGGTTGTTGTCCTTGGGTGTTACAGCTGAACATACTGTTGTGTGAAGTGTTTTTGGCCCAACCTCACATGCAGGAGTTGCTAAGATGTAGGATGGGAGGGTAAGATAGATTTGAAGGGGTAATAGTGATTCCCTCCCACCTGTTTCCCCACCCTGATGAAGAGCCTGCTTCAGGACCAGTAATCAGACCTCCTTATTGATGATGGCTGTGTTGTCTCTAGATATCTCTGCAAGTCCATTGGAACGGCATGAGCCGGTCACGGAAAGTCCACTTGTAGAAGGGGATGGAATTTTGGCCTGGGTGCCGGTACTTTCCTGCATTTGGTGTGTTCACCCATCTTTGCAACCACTAAGCTGCTGAAAAAGGCTGGGTTGAGTGGTCTTTGCTTTTCCTGTGCCTTTGTGAGAAGGCTCATTGGTGTCACACTGTTGACAATGTCTTACTAACACTGCTTGTGCCATTCATCCTCTAAGACAGGACAAGTTAAGCATGAACTTCAGGGTTCAAGTTCAGAGACCTGAACAAAATCAT